TCAGTTTGAACTGCTTCTTAACTTTCTAAATAGCTTATAAAAGTTGCCAAGTATAATTTTTCGGGTTCTGTACTCTTTTAACGTTATTAAACAAGTTCGATTTTTTAAGAACTTACAAGTTACAAATGTGACTTACAAATGTGAGGTTCCATACGAACATCGAACTTTTATGTTTCGAATGATGAAAAACCGGCGAGTTAGTTAAGCTCTCACTTTTAGAATATAATAACAAAGCATGACTTAAAGTCTAGCTTAAACAATAAAAGTTCTTTCCAACAAACGAAAGCAAAGGATTTCAATTGCGAGGGGAATATCAAAGTCGAAGGAATTTTAGATGATCGGGAATCAGGTTTAGTCGCGAAATTGTTTTCTCCTGCGCCCGGAAAGGTTTCAAATTGTCACCAGGTGACGAAGGAATATCAATAATCGGTACGGGAATCGAGGGGAAAAACTGATAAATACAAGTTTCAAGGATATGAAGTTCTTTGCTCCAAGATTTTGCTTTATCATAGAAAATGTTGCTCGACCTTTCATCTATTTCCGAGAGACGTTAGCTTTCCCGGAGTTGATCGTGCTCTTCAAGCTTTAAGGACTATTTTTTCCAAGCAACAGTGCGCCCCGGGCATTCGAATCTACTGACCGTAACCGAGGAAGACACTCTTGAGAATATTTGTTACTTTACCCGACTCTATCCTTGTAAATTTGAGTCGATGGAGACGTAGAGATATTTGGCAGAAAACCTTTAAACATTTTTATTAAACGGGAAGAGATAGAAAGCTTGTCTCATTGCTAATTTCATGCTCGCACACGATTGTCACGATCTCTCGACCGTCCCGACCATCGCACAAAGTCAGCAAGCCTTACATAAATTCAATAATAATTGATACAGTAATATGATAACATACTATTATATTGGTTGTAGCTTATTGTTACCATGCCGTTTTAATAAAATTGTTATTGATTTTGAAAAAAAAAATTAACTAAAGAAAAAGAATTTTAAATCGCAACAACGTTACCGTTAATTTTCACTTAATTTTATCATTCAGAATCAAATAATACATTATGAAGCTATAAACAATTCTGAACATATTATTTCGTAATCAAACAGTGGACTTACATCATTATTCAGGAAACAAACTTTTTCAAATTTCTCATCTGTAGACAGAAGTTTTCCTGTCTCAACAATTGCATTATAACAATTGTCAAATAGCTCAAGACTCTGAAAATATTTTAAAATGAATTATTTTCAAAAATACATTATTAAGATAAATTAATTAATTAATACGATATTTAAAATATGCAATAATTCATTTTTACTCGGAAAACGTTAAGATCTTTAGCACAAGCGGGTGGTGATAGTCTGTCGTTTAAAACTATATAAGTGTAAATACTTTTAATCGTTTTACAAGCAGTATAATTCGTTTTATATATGTTTATATAATAATTAAAATTTCATATTTAAAATATTTTTAAAACATTCCTTATCACAATATCGATCTAACATACTCTTTGGACAACTCGGGTATAATTTTGTTCCTAAGCTATTAACTTGGTACAAAGAAAGACAAACGATGAAAATGAAACCTACAAAATACATCTTCAAGGCTTTTAAAAGCTTAAAATTTTAATTCCGATTTTATATATTGACACGAATCCTTTTATAGGATGAGATTCATGATTATTTATTGATTGAAAGTAATAAATAACTTGTTTTTAAGATAATGTTATTTATTCAAGGACGACATCTTCGTCTATAATTATGACCTTGCCTGGAATGTTGTTATGTTTTACGCAATTTTTGTATTCTAATTTAATTCTATTAAGTTAATTTTAATTGTTTTAACAAACACTTAAATATAATACTAAAAATCTGGAGAAAATATTGAGACGATCAAAATATTTTTAGTGAATCTTATTGTTTATAGGCCTAATTCTATGAGATAATATGCCTAATTTCAGTATATTTAATAATTAAATACATTTTTAGTTTATGTTTTCTTATATTTAGATGGCTTCTTAAATGTTAGACTGATGAATTAGGATTCGATCCTAATCCAGACTACCATAATTTTTTCGTGGGTACATAAGTCCTGGTTCGAATTAGTCGACCCTATTTTGTGTCAAACCCGTTGTTAATGGCGCAATTATGGTCTGTTTTATAATTTTATAATGCGCTAAAACTACGCATTAATTAATCAACATAACTGGTTATAAGACACTATGGAAGATATATCTAAAAATAGAGGGCATCAAAATTGCTTAACAATAGTGACACCCTGTGTAATAAATGTATATAATCTTGAAAAATCAAGATTACAACGATTGAATTAATCTGACTTGTAAAAGGTATCTTCGTTGTCAAGGTTTCCTTTCGAACGATTGATATACATAATGAGGAAGTGAGATGAAAAACTAAGTTAAATAAAATTATTACTGTATATAAAATGAAAATCCTATTTTTAACTTTCTAATGTAAATGATCAGATGGATAATGTAAATTTGGCTTACAAAACACAAATTGGTTCTTAATAATCATCAGTTATGAATTTATTTCGCATTTTAATAAACATTTTTTTCCAAAAAAGTTCTTTAAAATAATTTAGTTGAAAAGAATTTAATCAGATAAATGTAAATTGTATGCTCGCATTTTATCATTCTCAAATTTTCTGATATAGAGGATGACCCAAAAGTATTAATAAGTTAATAGAGATATATTTATTTAAATTGTTTTAACTGTTAAAACCGGTTTGGAACAACTGCGAACTGTTTGTGATTTCGTCACTTCACTGTAAACGAATAAAAATTTATTCATTTCGCTTATAATTCTTTTAATATTAAAGATTAAATTTGGAGATCTTTCTGACTCCGGAATATGCTCCAAACGGTCTTGTTGGTTCCATGTATAAATGGCCTTGCAAAAACTGGACTAATTTACAATCTTATTTACATTGTCATTGAAAAGTGAAGATATATTTTGTCATGAATAAGATCATTTTTATGTGAATATTTTGCAGTCGCTCATTCAATTTGTCATGCAAAATACAACAAAATAAAAAATATTAATAATCTGGAAATATCAAACTAACCTTATATAATAACAATAAATGATTTACTCCATTTATATTATTCATATAAAAATTTGTCGTGTTTTTCTTTATAATTTTTAAACTTGCTTTCCNAAAAAAAGAAAACTTTAAAACAAGTCCAGTTATTAATTTTAAAAACGAAGATGTCGTCCTTGAGTAAACATCAATCTTGATAGCAAGTTTCAATTGATGAATAATCATGATATTTATTCATCCAATAAAAGAATTTGTGTCAATATATAAGATCGGAATTAAAATTTTAAGCTTTTAAAAACCTTGAAGATGTATTTTGTAGGTTTCATTTTCATCGTTTGCCTTTCTTTGTACCAAGTTAATAGCTTAGGAACAAAATTATACTCGATGTTATACAAATGAAAAGTATTTGTTTCAAATAAATATAATCAACTAGCTGTAACGCCCGGGTTTATAAAGTAGAGTACCTTTCGCAGTAATTGTTACATCCGGCGTTATTAATCGTAAATTTCAAAAATGCACGTGGTAAAACCAATTTTAAGATAATTATCAGAATGCCCATAGACTACGTGAAAGTATGTCCTTGTAAATAGCAAGTTTATAGATAAATTATTATAATTAGTTTATTATTTGGTTTAGATTATTTAGATCGCCAACGAGACCCGTGGGCGATCTGCCGAGAGGAGTTTTATGGAAAACTGATTATATTGGTGTTACTAACTTGCAGAAAACCCGGAAAACTGCACATGGCTAAACTACCGACGACCACCAGTGCGACAGTTTCGACTCCGCACAAGCGAGTGCCATATATTGCTCATCAAAGTGTTAATATAGAGCGTCTATTTCGCGCTATAATATTATTGCTGTAACTAAATGAATATACTGTAATGTTTATTTTTTTTTTAAATTATACTCTTTGTTATATGATTTATATTTAGTTTATTATTTTTAAAATTTTTTTGCGAATAGATGGCGCTGCATGTAGATACATCAAATCCAATGTAAAAAGAAATTAATAGATATATGAAAACGCAATCAGTATTTTGGAGTGGGATTATAACGTTATCAAAGTTAGAAAGAAGTATGCTAAAGTAACTGCTCAGTTTCGTAAGAATTGGTCAAAAGGCGTAGGAGTGTACTATACATCAAACAAACAAACAAACAATCATTCTCATTTATATATATAGACAAAAATAATTAAAATATTATTAATCTTTGACACTTTATAAGATAAAAAAATATATATATATGTCTAAATACTGCATAGAATACCTGTCTGTCTATTTCATATATATCAATATATTTTCTATTTCTAAACCCTTTGATCAATTCGAATAAAATTTTTTGCTTGTTTTCTACAACCTTGGAGAAAATAGTCTACCATCCAACCCGTCCTCCATGTGATCTTATCCACTTGACACTTTCTGCTCATTTAAATTCAATACATTAGTATATAAGTAAGCATTCATAATAATTAATCAAGGTGCCATGCGATCCACCAATCATATTCTTAGTGAACTTTTCAAGTGGATTTGGCACTTTACCGAAATAACGCCTTTAATTTGAGCTTGCCTAAATTAACCAAACTTATAATTTTAATGTTTGTTCTTATTATTTTTCGTTCGAATAACTCTGTGAATATCAGTCCCTATAATATATAAATAATTTTTATCTGAAATTATTTAATATTTTAAAACATTTCTAAACACAAAGAACAGTTTTAATAAGAAAGTTTGTTATCAGATGTCGGAAAAAAAGAAAACTTTAAAACAAGTCCAGTTATTAACTTTAAAGACGAAGATGTCGTCCTTGAATAAATAATATTAACTTGAGAGCAAGTTATTTATTACTTTCAATCGATGAATAATCATGAATCTCATTCTATAAAAGGATTCGTGTCAATACATAAGATCAAATTAAAAATTTAACCTATTAAAAACTTTGAATATGTATTTTGTAGGTTTCATTTTCATCGTTTGCCTTTCTTTGTACCAAGTTAATAGCTTAGGAACAAAATTATATTCGAGTTGTCCAAAGAGTGTGTTAGATCGATATTGTGGTAAGGAATTTTTAAAAATATTTTAAATATAAAATTTTAATTATTATATAAACATATATAAAAAGAATTATAGTGCTTGTAAAACGATTAAAATTATTTACACTTAAATAGTTTTAAACGACAGAATATCACCACCCGCTTGTGCAAGAGGGCTTGGCGTTTACAGAGTAAAAATAAATTATTGCATTATTTTAATATTATATTAATTTATTTTAATAATGAGTTTTTGAAAATAATTTATTTTAAAATATTTTCAGGGTCTTGAGCTATTTGACAATTGTTATAATGCAATTGTTGAGACGGGAAAACTACTGTCCACAGACGAGAAATTAGAGAAAGTTTGTTTCCTGAATCATGATGTAAGTCCACGTTTTATTAAGAAATAATATATTCAGAATTATATATAACTTCCTAATCTAGAATTTCATTCTGAATGATAAAATTAAGTGAAAACTAACGGTTACGATGTTATGACTACAAATTTTCCTTATTTTATTAATTGTTTTAAAATTAATAACAATTTTATTAAAAACTGCATCGTAACAGTAAACTACAACCAATATAACAGTATGTTAACATATTACTGTTTCAATTATTACGAAATTGGTAACTTGTTTAGTAACGTTGACAGAGTATAGGACTCAAAGAATTATGTTTAGCAGCTTTTATAAGCTATTTAGAAAGTTAAGAAGCAGTTCAAACTGAACCGTAAACAAACCAACTTATATATTTCAAAATTTCAATGATAAGAATGAAGCCAGGGGAACGACTTTTATTTTTGACTTATAACTTATGAGTTTTGTGATGCAATTCTAATAGAACTGTTTCTATTTTATGCTAGATAGATAATAAGCATAATTAACTTTTATAAAAGATAACAATTTGATTAGATGTACGATAATATAACTTTTTAGTCATATCATCGTAACCTTTCGTTTAATCTATTTTGTTTCTCACGCTCTAAATTTGTAGTGTCAATTTAAACAATTTTAAAAATATAATTAAAATTATCTGTGAAAGTAATTCTTAAATTATCTGTAGCATTCTATACATATGTTATAAAAACAATGTATTAATTTTATATAATTCTTGTTTAAAATATANAATTATTACGGAATTTGTAATTTGTAACTTTTTACGAAATGTAACATGTTTTGTAACGTCGATAAAGTATAGGACTGGAAAATTATATTTGGCAACTTTTATAAGCTATTTAGAAAGTTAAGAAGCAGTTCAAACTGAATCGAAAACAAACCAACTTCTTATAAAGATACTTCAAAATTTCAGCAATAAGAGTGAAGCCAAGTAGAATGACTTTTATTTTTGACTGTATAACTTAAGAGTTTTGTGATGCAATTCTAATAGAACTGTTTCTGTTTTATGTTAGATAGATAATAAGCATAATTAACTTTTACAAAAAAATAACAATTTGATAAACAATAGTAACGTTTACGTTTAATCTACAGTAGAGCATCGATTATCCGACTCAATTGGGGACTCAGGTTGGTCGAATAACTGAAAAAATCGGATAACCGAAAAGAAGGAAAAAAATATATTATTAGTATAGTATATTAGTATATCCCATATAATTAGTATATCGCTGTTAACCAACTTCGCGTTGAATTTTCATCTATGTTAAGCCTAACAATTTTTTTAAAAAATAATAATCGTCGCTATTGTATCGTTAAAAATTATTTTTAAATTATTTTATTGCTCACGAAACAAACAACCACTCATAATTAGAAAATTAAGTCTCGTTTAAATATTGGCCTCNCAACTTATATATTTCAAAATTTCAATGATAAGAATGAAGCCAGGGGAACGACTTTTATTTTTGACTTATAACTTATGAGTTTTGTGATGCAATTCTAATAGAACTGTTTCTATTTTATGCTAGATAGATAATAAGCATAATTAACTTTTATAAAAGATAACAATTTGATTAGATGTACGATAATATAACTTTTTAGTCATATCATCGTAACCTTTCGTTTAATCTATTTTGTTTCTCACGCTCTAAATTTGTAGTGTCAATTTAAACAATTTTAAAAATATAATTAAAATTATCTGTGAAAGTAATTCTTAAATTATCTGTAGCATTCTATACATATGTTATAAAAACAATGTATTAATTTTATATAATTCTTGTTTAAAATATATATTATTTTTAAAAACACTGTAATTGTTTCAGGAATACATCGGCATTTCTAATTGTTGTGAATATGCATTTAAAATGGATTTGAAAAGAGAAGGAAGAGCATACAATGCTGCTGACGTAAGTGTACTTAAACGTGTATTTTTTGCATGAAAATTATCTTTCTCTTCTTATGGATTATTACAAATAAAGATGAAATATGCTTTTCCTGAATAATTTATCATAACAGGATTAATTGTAATTTATCCAATTTTGCTTAATATCTGTCATTAAAACTCGCAAAGTAAGGAATTCATTTAACATGCTAATACTGAACGTTTTATATCAATTAATTAGCATTTAATGAATAAATGTTAAAAAAAACAATAGCTAAAAATTTTCTAGTACAATAAGATCCCGCTTAACGGGGGGATACGTTCCTAGACGACAAAAATGACGAGGTCATTTTAACACAGAGTAAATAGGGTAAGGAGAACACGCGACCAAAAATAAACAGATTTTACTTTAATTTTGAGTTATTTTTTATATTAATTTGCATAATAATGTAAGTTAAACAAGTAAAACGGCAAGGCCGTGTTTGGGACAAGACTATGTCTCGGAGACTCACTACTAAGCGGAATCACTTTGAAGCTCAAGGCAGGTCTCATTCTCATTCTCCTATCTTCTTTGATATCGCTGCTTTTGGGCGCGATCGTTCAAACTTCGCCGGCCACGACCACGAGGTTGTCCACGATGCATTTTCGATGAAATTAACCTATCCAATTTAGAAATTTCTCCCTGTTGTGTGTCGGTCCGGGTTGAATTTTTGTCGATGCGTAACGAAAATTTCCTGTTTTTGAAAAAACAATCGTGGCTATTGTATCGTCCGAAATTATTTTTTATTTTGCACAAACAATATACAGTTTAACCCGATTATAACGTTGTCGGATCTAACGACAACCCTAATATAACGTAAAATTTTTATCGGTCGCACGATTTTACTATACTAGATAATGTTAAAAAAGCCACTTGTAACGACATGAAACCGTTTTAATGTCATATTTGAAGCACTCCCAAATTTACAAAATTAGATTACAAATTTATTTAACATAGAAGAAATTACGTATTCGGTCCTAAGGCCAGGGTTCACTTCTTAGAATGACTGTGGGTAGTACTCTCCCCACCTGACTTCGGTGGAGTGAGGTGGCTGTTTTGCCTGTTTGTAGAAGAGGGTCGCCATTTTGGATTTTATTTTGACTCGGTTCTCGGTCCCCTGACTACCTACGAGTCTGGATCTTTTTATGTGCCAAACATTTGGGCACCTAATGCTCTGTGCCAAATATCAACGCTCGACATACTCTGTACTCCTTCATACCTCTATGCTGGTAACATAAAACGGCAGTACGATTTTATAAACAAGACATAGTCTTGTCAATAACACATAAACATATGCACACAGAAATGTAAAGTTCATTTTTTTGTGACGAATGTCCTGGCTATTCTGAAATTCTTGATTTTTTTGCAATGAGGTTGTGTAGTGTCATTTGTTGCGTTTTTTTTTCTTTCGTTAAGCAAATGTCGGTAGTAGAAGATCGCATCCAAAACGCCTCGTCTTGCTTTTGCCCTCCTTCCAAAATCTGGATCATTCGCCACAATTTGATCAACGATTTCGGTTATCGTTACCAAACTTTTACTAAGGAAATCTGTAGAGAAATTCTTTGGGTTCTTCGTTTTCAGAATCATCATTTTCCAGTTCTACATGACTTCCTTGTTCTGCCAGTTTTTGAAGGTCGTCGTTGGTAAGGCTCTCACCAGAAACATGCAGTAACTCCTCAATATAGGCCTACTGCTCGTCTACATCTAGTCTTGCTTTATCGTTAGATTGACCAAATTGTCATCCTAACGATATAGCGATAGGCTCTTCTCGTTGAGAATTCTTGGATACCTTCAGCCATAACTTCTTCCAAACTTCTTTCATGCATTCATCAGTTAATTCTTGCCAAGCGAATCGATATTGCCTATGGCATCCATGTTATAGTTTTTCCAAAATTGCACCAAACAATCATAGGTTTAAGCAAAGTACAGCGCTACAACGAATTGCTATCTTTTGCTGATTGGTTAGTGTTTGGGAATAATCGTATTATATATGAATAAATGAAATGTTCGGATAATTTAAATCAGCGTAAATTTTGAGCTTTTTTTAGGCTTCGAGCAGACCACCTTATATCGAATCAGCGTTAATCGAGGTAGCGTTAAGCAGGGTCTTACTGTATTTCTGTCTGCAGTAAACCAATCAAACAAAATATGTAATAAAATATTTTTATTCGAACATATATCGAAGTTATAATTTAAAAATTATTGAACAAATACATTAAAAATCAAAAAAATTAAACTGAAAATAAGCATTGTAATATATAATTAAAAATTTAAAAATTTCATATCTATATTTTATTTTTCGATCGAGGAAGAAAAATTGCTAATTATTTAAAATTTCATAACTATAAAATCTAGAAGAATCAAAAATTTTATGATTGCTTAAGTTAATAACACAATCAACTTTAATATTAGAAATGCAATTTACATTTATCATTTGATGATAATTTGTCAATAATTAAGCAACACAATTTTACTTTACAAATGGATTAATTTATTTACTGATTTCTCCTCATCTGTTATAATTTTCAAATCTCTTAATTTTTCTCGTTCCATATTTTATCATAAGTTAGTCCTTTGAGTTAAGTTCTGGAGGAGAAATGTAAAAAGTCATGCCGTGAATTTCATTTACATCTAATCATTTTTACATTTTCAGCATTGTATAGGCACTCAAGAAAAAAACGAGGACAAGGTAAATGGAATTTTAAAGCATAAATTGTTTTAAATTATTTTTTTCCTTCGCTGCAATTCCTTCTCGTATTTTCTATTAAACGTTTTAAAACTACTATGTTATACAGTAGAGTCTCGAAAACTCGGCACTCGATAACCCGGCAGTCCGGATAACTCGGCCACACCCTTGCAGGGCAAAAAAATCCTTAGTTAATTAATTTTCATTATAGACATCTTTATGCCTCATAAAGTATTTTTCTGAGGTCTGTCTTATCAGGTAAATTACTGTACACAGTGTATTCATTAATTTTTGTTTTCATGTAGTAAAGGTTCTATGCCTTCATAAAGGACGTACTTTTCCTTTGTTTAAGGGTATTTGGGCAGTTTATTCTCTGTTGTATTCTCAAGTAAACAATACACACAAGTACAGTACAGTATTTTCTGAGGAAACACTCGTACTTATTTTTTTTAACCCCATTCCCGATAACCCGGCATTTTCACAAACTCGGCCACCCTTNCTTTTGTTTTCACTGGACTAATTGCAAATTTTCTTTTTTACAGAATGAAGAGGTTGGTGCGGTTTTGGAAGCGGTTCCGGCGGAGGAAGGCGATGGCGCCGGAGGGAGGGGGTTCCTCGAACGGCGCGGAACGAGTCTGTCGGACTCGGCGCTCGAAGAGACGTTGGAGGAACGGGGCTCGACGAGCCAGAGGTAGCGGGTGAAGAAGACCTTCCCCAAGTGCGCGTGGCGTGGCATCCTCCCGGACTCGGGATTATGCCACGCTACACTCTCGGTCCGACGCACTTGGCCAAGGTCTTCGGGGGTCATCCTGCCACAGGCCTTGCTGTGGAAGATGTAGAAAGTGACGGCTCGTCCGAGTCGACATTTTCTGGTTGGTCGCGTTCTGCCTGTTCGTCTGCCACGGCGACGCTACTGCCTCGCCGAAGTCGGAACGAGGAGGAATCGGAGGAGAGAGCCGCCCGACTCTCGGAACCGTGGTTTCTGTGGTTTTGTTCCCTTCGGACGGCTGCGGATCCCTCGGCCTAGGCGGTGATCCTCTTCGATTTTCCCCTTCACCCGGATGCGACATTCTTATTGGATTAACACTTTCAACCGGACTCGACACCTTTTCTTAATGAAAATATATTATTTATAAAAATGATTTTTTTTAAATGGCAGCTTATTTTTTAGAATTATATATTATTCCTAGCAGATGAGCCCGGCGTTGCTCGAGCAAAAAAATAACACCAGAAAAAATTAAATAATTAAAAGCTAATGGCTTTCTTTCTCCAGTAACACATCACATAAAGAACAGTTGATTTACATATATTTTATTAAAGGAAATGCATTTCGGGTCTTAATGACCCCTCTTCAGTCCTTAGAATGGTTGATTGTTGGTTACAATTGACATTAAAGGGTAACTGACTGGGTAGGTAATTTACCAGGGTGGCTGAAATATTCCGAACATCTTTAAGTACACGGTTGCACTTGCATTCTGCAAGTGAAACCGTGTACTTAAAGATGTTCGGACAACTGTTACAACTGTTGTATCTATATGGGAGGGTAGGATAGTTTCACCAAATGGGAGCCATCTGGAGGTGGGGCGGGATGTAATCANTTGATTTATGTATATTTTATTAAAGAAAATGCATTTCGGGTCTTAATGACCTCTCTTCAGTCCTTAGACTTTATAAAAGAAAAAGAGATAGATATGGGTTACATTAAACAGAATAGTACATATAGGCTAATATTTTAACAAAAATTTTTTGACATGGTTGATTGTTGGTTACAATTGACATTAGAGAGTATGTTGGGCAATTGGCTTGGTAATCAGTTTACTAGGGTTGCATCAGAGTTCTGATCATCTTCGATTATGCGGTTACATTTGTAGAATGAAGTTGTATCTATATGGGAGGGCAGTGTAGGTTAACCAGATGGGGGTCATCTGGGGGAGGGCGGGATGGAATCACATGTGGATACTACCTGTTAGAGAGGAGGGGTTTCCAGATGTCACTAATGGTTAGATCGTCATTTAAGTTCATTTTATAGCCTAAGTTTTTATTTTCGTGATTTCAAGTTGTTCATATAATTTCCTTTTCATACTATTTTTTTCTATTTTAAGTATTTTTAGATTATTAAGTGAGATCTCACGACCTTTACTAATGTAATGTATGGCTACGGCAAAATTAGTGTAATTAAATTTAATAGCACGTGAATGTTCTTTTAGTCTTATTTTTCTTCCAGTTTTCTTTTAGTCTTATTTAGTCTTCCAGTTTCACCTATGTATTGGTAATCCAGTTGCAGGCTATTCTATTTATGACGTTATTTTGTTGCATTATGTCAATATTTTCAAAAATATTTTACTTAGTTATTAGTAATTTTTTTGATATTATTAGTAAATAGAGGGGCTAGAGTTATGTTATGTGATTTTAATAGTTTTTTTAATTTTTCGAAAATTGTGGAGATGTAAGTTTTTTATAAGTCATTTGAGTTGGTATTATATTTTTGGGGGTTGCAGTAGGGTTAGTTTGGTAAGCCAGTTTTCTAGTATCTTATTTGGATAGTCATTTAGTTGAAAGACTTTATAAATGTGGGCTATTTCTTTAGTTTGTTCAAGGTAATTGCTTGTACGTGTTTTAATTTTGGAGATATACATGTTAAAAATATTTTTCTTAATATAGCCTACATAGATTTACTGTACTGGAATAATAGTACACTTTTTAAAACTTAAGCTGTTATGAGACCTTTGGACTGTGATGTCTAAAAATGGTAAATTGTTATTATATTCAAGTTCTAAATCAAAAGTTATGTTGGTTACTATATTATTGGCACTGTTAAAAATGGTTTGAGGGTTGGTTAAAATAGCGTCATAAATTGTGAAGCAGTCATCTGCATATCTATTATTCTGCCTCTGAGGTTTCTAATAATATGATCTATTTTTATAATACATAATTCAGCTAGTTTAGGATCTATACATGAACCCATAAAGATACCGGTATATTGTCTAAAAATTTTTTTATTACAAGTAAAACAACTATTATTTAGAGCAAACTGAACCAGTTGAATTACCCAATTATCACAATTTAGATTAGTTAATGTACTAATTATAAAACTTTTACGTATAGATGGATATATATTTTTAATGTCTAGGCTTAACATTCTGCTGTTAGCATTAATATTGAGTTTTTAGAGATTGCTAATGAATTTTTTTCAGTATTTTTAATGCTATAATCAGAATTGTGATATTGATTTAATTTATTCTTAAGGAATTTTTCAAGATTGTATAACTCGTAAAATTTAATATCTACTAATGGTCTCTTCCTTGTGTGATGTGCTACGGAAGAAAGAAAGCTCTCGCTTTTAATTCTTTAAAGTCTACAAAAAACCAGTAACGGAAACCTAATTAAATATTTATTACAGTTTAGCTTTCGGTCTTCTTGGAGAAAATATGAAATTACGTTCATATTTTTCGCTATACACGCTATACACTTAAAATTTTATTCATTTTATGTGAATTTACAAATCGATCTGATTGAGATTTGGGCCTTAGTAACTGTCTAGTTTGCCTTGGTTGCACCTAAGCGAAACTAGACTAGTCCTAGTAAGGATTTAAATTTTTCGTACTTGAAATATGGAAAAACGAATCAAATCAATGAAAATACAAAAGAGAAAAATTAAATGAAAATATAATAATTTGTAGCATTTTTCAGAATAAAAATGGAGCAGATGTGCTGGATCTCGAATTCATAGTATTTCGCAGCCATAACTAAGCAATGAAAATTCATATTACTTGTTACATGACATTGTGTTACTTTTTTGAGTTTTTTATAATTATCAAATTTCTTGCAATAATATCGGACATTTCAAATTCATTATAACAATTTTACATACAATTTTCTAAAATATAGTTTATATATGTCATGTTATGTATTCCACTTCGCAATGAACATAGAATTATATATCCTTCGCGTGTGAAGAATAATGAACATAGACTCCATCGCTAAACCCGATATAATATAGCTAATCACCAAACGTATGCCGTAAATCCATCGGGCTAGTTTTAAGGCTAATTACTAGTAATTAGCCTTAAAACTAGCCCGATGGATTTACGGCATACGTTTGGTGATTAGCTATATTATATCGGGTTTAGCGATGGAGTCTATGTTCATTATTCTTCACACGCGAAGGATATATAATTCTATGTTCATTGCGAAGTGGAATACATAACATGACATATATAAACTATATTTTAGAAAATTGTATGTAAAATTGTTATAATGAATTTGAAATGTCCGATATTATTGCAAGAAATTTGATAATTATAAAAAACTCAAAAAAGTAACACAATGTCATGTAACAAGTAATATGAATTTTCATTGCTTAGTTATGGCTGCGAAATACTATGAATTCGAGATCCAGCACATCTGCTCCATTCTTATTCTGAAAAATGCTACAAATTATTATATTTTCATTTAATTTTTCTCTTTTGTATTTTCATTGATTTGATTCGTTTTTCCATATTTCAAGTACGAAAAATTTAAATCCTTACTAGGACTAGTCTAGTTTCGCTTAGGTGCAACCAAGGCAAACTAGACAGTTACTAAGGCCCAAATCTCAATCAGATCGATTTGTAAATTCACATAANTATGAAAATAATTTAACTTTAATGTTTTCTTATATTTATAATTATAAGCTATTCCAATGAAATGTTTATTCTCGTAATTATTTCTACTTAATAATTTCCTTATTTGATATCTAAATTATTCAATTTTTTCATTTAAATTTAATTACAGCTTTAATAATTTGTTTTCTAATTTTCATATCCTACGTTTCATAATGACATTTTTTTCTGAATTTAGTTTTAACGTATTAGGAGCAGTCTCCTCCATTAAAAAGCACTTTAGATCAGTGTTTCTCAAACTTTTCGTTCACGTGATCTAATATATTTGTAATGGTCCCGCGATCCAAATTGTTATAATATAAAATTTTTTAAAAACATGGTGAATAGGAGTCACTATATATTAAATTACAAAATAAAATTATTCACTTGTGTGAATTGTAACATCGAGTGCATTTCCATTAAGAGCAGTTCGGGCGAATTTCGATTTGTAACAAATAATTTGCTTCAATTTCTGTTTTTGTTATTGAAATTTAACTATTAAAAAAAATGCAAGACTGGCGATTGTAAACAAAATGGACTGTTTCAAAATTATTCGGGAATCTATTTTACTTTGAAAAATATTTTTTAAGTTTTGAAAGTTTTTTCTTTTTCATAAACTTCATGAACTCTTTTTTAAAATGCACTTTACCGAATGTGTCAATATTTTGCCAATTTTATTTTGTATATATGCAAATAAAAAAAATTCATTAAAAGTTATTTATTGATTCACTTGTGCTAAAATTCAAAAAAAGTTATTTATTTGTTGTAATTTATTACTCCACGTGGCCAGCTCGTCCTGGTGAGATGCGCACCTATAATAGAACTCCCCGTATTCAGGGAATGGAACCGCTTGGTCACTGGTGGGCCTTCTATTGATATTTCTTGATATGGCACTATCATGTGGATGAGGAGTGTTGAAATTCTAGCTATCTTTTCTCTGTAAACCTTACAAGTTTGAAATTTTCAAATAATGTATTCCGCCATTAAAAATGAAATATCTTCAGTGTATAATATTCGTATACGAGATTATCTGGAATTTAAAACATTTAAGTTCA